GGGGAAGTGACACTTGGATTTGAGAGTGGTTTTATCAAGAGAAAAATGAGGGAAAGGCATCCCAGGCCAAATGAATGGCATGTGCAAAGCTGTGGGGTGTGAGTGTGGTTTGCTCTGGGAATGCCAAGTATTTTTCAATAAAACTGGACACTCCGGGGAGGGTGAGAGCTGAGACTCAAGGAGAAGACAGGGATCCAAACACAAGAGCCTGGTCTGCTGGGCCCTGGAGTTTGGACTGTTTCCTGAGGGCAGTGTTAGCTTTGAAAGGTTTTAAACTGGGCAGTGATATCACCAGGAAGCAGCTGAGAGAGTTAAGTCTAGCAACTGGATTGGAGGCTAGGAATTATCCTCATTTAGCAGCAAGGAAACTGAGGCATGGCGTGTCTTCCCAGGTCACAGTGCTAGTAAGTGGAGTTTCTTCCATGTCACCAAACTGTAGGGAATTTTGGAGAGCTGGGTTAGACAGCATTGGCCCTCACCATAGGCCATTTCTGGTCAGAGTATGACACTGTAGGACCAGTGGTGCGTTTGTCTACAGCAGGGGCAACCCTGAGGTCCAGACGCTTCCTGGGCAAGCCTCTTGACCAGGTGTCCTGTGGATTTGCCCACCTTGCTCCCGCCTTCCCTGCCTGTTTCCTGCATTCCAAACAGGGGCTGTGGGAGTCTTCTCTGAGCTCCATCACCGTCCAAAGCATGTGTTCATTGGCAGGGGGACTGCAGGCCTGTCTGTTTTCCTCAGTTCTGCAGCCAAAAGGCCCCAGTCCTGCAGCCTGTCTTATCCAGGCTAGGGCAAGGTGAGGTCGGTGAGGAGAGCTCCAGGTAGCCAAGGGGTGATTAGCTTCCCCTGAGGTTTGTCACAGGCTCAGGAATCTAAAGCTTCCAGCTCTGCAGGGCAGGGGCAGTGGAGGATGAGGGAAGAGATGGTATCTGCGGGCTCCCTGCAGGCACAGTGCTCTCAGGGAGGAGGGAGTGTCTCTGAGGTCTCAGCTTATGACGTCCTCAGACTTGGTCAGCCATGGCCTCTAGTTCTTTGAAACTCGTCCAAGGCCCAAAGTGGCTGAGTGATGAGGTGGGGGCAGGGAGTAGGAGGCAGAGGGTGCCTAAGGATCCTGGCCGGCAGTCAGCCTTTGTACTGAGGGTCAGAGGCTCCAGCCTTCAGAAAGTGGGCAGTGGTGAGGCATCCTCACTGACAGGAATCAGAACGGAGGGTCCAGAAGGCCCCGTAAGCACCTTCTCCTGCTAACATTCAGGAGCCCGGCCCTTCCTCCTGGGGTGCACGGTGGCTCTGGCAAGTGCTCCGTCCTCACTGACAGGAATCAGAACGGAGGGTCCAGAGGGCCCGTAAGCACCTTCCCCTGCTAACATTCAGGAGCCCGGCCCTTCCTCCTGGGGTGCACGGTGGCTCTGGCAAGTGCTTGGTTTCCTCCAGCCTGGCTCCTCCTTCCTCCTTCTGTGCCATCCGTTTCTCTGGCACCAGCAGGAAGTTCTGGGCCGGTTGGGGTGCGCCCAGGAGGAAATAACAGGAGGCAGCTGAGAGCTTCCCCCACTTACCTGGGCAGGGAGGCGGGAGGGAAGGCTGGTCCGAGGCCTGCTTGCCCACCCCACGCAGCTCTTCAGGGGGTCTCTGCTCCTTCAGCCACCTCACACCACCCCTGCCGGGCCAGCATCCCTGCAGGTTGCCCCCTTCCCCTGGCACCAGTTGCATGGGGACAGCCCCAGATGGCTCCCTGGCCCAGGGACAAAGGCCACACTGTGCCTGGCCCAGGGCTGGCCTCAGCCTGGGTCACACTGAGCCCTTCTGTCCCTAGCTGGGGGTGCGGGGCAGACAGCACCAAGGTGACAGGCCTTTTTCCTGTTCTCTTCCCCCTTGAGCCCCCACTCTGAGGAGCTGACTCTCCCAAGGGAAAAGTGGCAGAGGCATCTCGTGTCTTGAGCTGGGGAACAACTGACTATTCACCGCCCAGCCTGCCCTGTCACACCCAAGACCCTGCTGGGTTCAATGCCTCGATTGTCCTCAGCAGAGAGATGCATCCACTCTCTGCTGTGGTCACCACCCCCACCGCCTGCTCCCCTGTCACCATCGGGAAGACCATCCCTACATCTGACCCCCATCCCTCCCACTGCAGTGACAGCTACTTCCTCTTGGTGGAGAACAGCTGGTCCCCATCCCTCTGCATTGCTTGGCCCCACATTCCTGCTCAAGTCAGCTGCCCCCCTGTTTCACCTCCCTCTCTCTCCCTGTCCCCCTGGCACAAGCTGGTGGCTCCTTGTTCCGAACTGAACTGTGGGGAGAGCAGGTGTGATTCTGGGCTTGTTCTACTTTGTCTTGCAGAAATTGGGGGCCTGCCTCCAAGAACGCTTTTAATGAGCTCCCCTCCCCCACCCCACAAGCAAGAGCAAGGGTGTGAGATTTACGGCAGCTACTGGAAGATTCCTGAGCCACAGACCCAACACACCATCCCATAAATCCCAGACTGCAGGACGGTTTTATGGGGAAGCCCTGTTTTTAGAAAGGGGTGTGGTTGGACCCTCCTGGCAGAACTCAGGCCTCAGGAAGCCAAGTGCCTTCCTCCTCCCTCCCGCATTGGGACAACCATGATTGAGCCCAGGAGCATCAGTTTGTGCAGCAGAGATGTGCCTGTTTCAGGGCAGAGATATTTCCCCCGCTCTGGGGGTCTCCTGCTGCACTCAGCATGCCCTCCCCGCTTCTGCCCACTCACCAGCTCTGAGGATTCCTTGCCTCAGCACAATCTAGAAACATGGGAGATGATCTTGCCTTACCTGGACCTCATATGCTTCCCACCCATGGCTCCATGTGCAAATCCTTGGAGATGCTTTTTAAAAATGCATTTTTCCAGGTACCGTCCTCGGAGCCTCAGTTCTAGAATATGAGGAATTTTAATATTTTTACAATGCTCTCTGGTGATTCTAATGTTCAGCCAACGTGGAAAATAACTGATCTATACAATGGGCACATCTCCGTTCTCCTGTCGTGCTGGGGAATGTGTCTCCAGGTAGGGTGATCTGGGTCCTCTTGTCACTGGAACCCATACCGTCCCACCACCGGCATGAAGCCTCCATTATGGGTCCCCTTGGGCTGGATGCTGCCCACAAGATGGGAGGCAGGGTGGCTATCCCTGAGGCTGGAGACAATGCACAGAGCCACAGAGGAATGGATGAAGTTGGCTGGCAGGAATGGGTTTAGGGATGGAGAATCAGGAAAGCCCCATGCTGGTGGGCTGTACTGAGGAAGCTGCAGCCACCTTCTCATCAAGGGAGGCCTCCACAGCCCCTGAATTCCTTGAGAATAGGGACCATGCTTTACTCGCCTCTAACCCAGTGCCTTCACGATGCCGATGCATAGTAGGTGCTCAATCCACGTTTGTTGAGTTGAACCAAGTGAGACTTTAGGGCCTACAGACAGAGGTGGATCTGGCTGGCCATGCAGAGGCAGCAGCCTGATGAAGGAGGGTCTGGTGATACCCAGTCTCTGGGCTCAGGAGAGCAGGAGGGCCATACTTAGCTGCGTTTGGGGCCAGCCAGGAGCATGCAGTGCCAGGGAGGGGACCCTTCCCAGGCTGGCTGAGGACAGAAGGATGTGATCATTAAGCAAAGCAAGCACGTTACTGGCCCATAATCCCTTAAACCAAGAGGATTCAGGAGGGGCCTGGTTGCCTTGGCGGCTAGGTACTGGCCACTGACAGGCTGAGAGGATCCTCCAGGAGTGGGCTGTGCCTGTGCGTGGGTTAAAGCTGGGAGGGGTGGAGGGCAGCCCTCTCCCATCACAGGGCTAGCCCCTGGTGCCTTCTTGGCAGACGTGGGTGGGGGTCCTTGTGAGGCCTGTTGGTCCCGGTCCCACTGCAGCTGAAGGCTGTGTAGGTACAGCAGGATGAGGGGGCAACTCCACCGGGAACTTTTGAAACTGGGGAGGGGCGGGGAGGGGAGGCAGGACAGCCCCACTCTGGGCAGGAGGGAGAAGGAAGGGTCTGCGGGAAGAAGCAGTTGCTTGAGCCTCACTGGGACTAGCAGGGTGTCCTCTCATCAGAGGACAGGAGGAGCTGGGAGCTGGTGGGGAGGGAACCTTTTCTGGCTGGGGAAGGGGCCTTGGGGAAGAGCAGAGCGACTCGCCCCTCCTCCTGTGCTCTCAGCAGAGGACACTGCCTGCTCCCTGCCTGCTCAGAGGGCTGTGGCATGGGAGGGGCCAGCAGGGCTCAGGCCTCCTTCCCTGGGGCCTGTCTCTGTTTCCAGCAAACTTCTGTGTTTCCACTGAGACCTTCAACTGCTCCTGACCTCCCATATTCCAGCTTGGAGAGGGGATGGGGTTGGACCAGCTCTGATGCACAGTTCCCTCCCTCATCCCTTTCCTCTCTTTTCCTGTCTCCTGGGAACCCAGGACAAGCCAGAGTGGGGATCTTCAAACGTCAGTATCAGAACAAAATGGGGTTTGGACCAGATCGTGTGCAAGGGTGTAGGCCAAGCTGATGTTCAGCTGATGGGCGTCCATCAGTGAAGCTTACTGTCTGTTGACACATCCAAGCTTTTACACACCAGTTGGCAAAGGGCTGTGGCCCGAGGACCACCCAGTTCTGGTGCCCTCCCTGCCACCCCAGCCCTTCCATCAGTACTCCCTAGATCTCCAGCAACTAAAGGGTTAATGGGGGGGGGGGTCGCGCAGGCACTTCAGGATCCTCTTTGCACATGTACCCCCTATGATCAGTACTTTGCAGTACTAGTTGCTACATACTGGGATGATCTCCCCAGAGGAAGGGAGTTCTGCAGGGGCAGGGGCCAGAGTCACTGGGAGGAAGAGGGTTAGGGCCCACCCTCAGGGAGCTTGAGCTTAGGTGGAGAAGTCACACCCTGGCTCCTGCGGCACGTGGGTGACAGCCTGGCACTCATCAGGAAGACTAGACCCCGAATCCACATTTGTTGTCCCCTTGTTCTCACCTGCTATTGTCGCACCTCTCCCTCAGGACAAGGCCGCCTGGTCCCCGAGGGTCATGAACAAGATGAAGAACTTTAAACGCCGCTTCTCCCTGTCAGTGCCCCGCACCGAGACCATCGAGGAGTCCTTGGCCGAATTCACAGAGCAGTTCAACCAGCTCCACAACCGGCGGAACGAGGGTGAGGGGTCTGGGCCCACCCCAGCACTGCTGCCACCCTGGCATTCCCCGCTGCCAGCCCTCCTTGCCCTCCCTGACCACCCCTGCACCATGCGGCCTCATGGGAGGGGGCAGAGAGGCAGGGAGGGGACCTGATGGCTGTTCCTCTCAGACCTGCAGCTCGGTCCTCTCGGTAGAGACCCCCCGCCAGAGCCCAGCACCTTCTCCCCCACAGACAGCGGGGAGGAGCCCGGGCAGCTGTCCCCTGGCCTGCAGTACCGGCGGCAGAGCCAGCGCCGCTTCTCCATGGAGGTGAGGGGCTCCTGGGCTGTGCCCTGAGAATGTGACAGGACGCATCCGTCGTGGGTCCAAATGTCAGCTCTGCCATCAATTAGCTCGTGACTTTGAACAAGTTACTCACCCTCTGCGTACCACGGTCTCCTTGAGACTTTAAGATGGTCACCGTGAGGATTCAATGAGTTAGTATATGCCGAGTGCTCAGAACATTCCTGGAACATAGCAAGAGCTAGACAACTTGACTGTTGTTCTGGTGACCCATACATGTGCCCAAATATACGAAAAATATGCTTACCGAATCCCAGTGTCTGTAAGGGCATGAGATTTATGTCCTACAGGTGGCGATGCTGTGGCCCAGAGAGGGAAGGGTCCTCCTAAGGTCACACAGTAACCCCCGGCGTCCGTGTGTACGTCTTTGAGAACCCCTCGAGGCCGCTGTGAGCTGGACTCACAGCCCATAATGTGCTCCTTCTACTATGGTTGCTCTACAGGGAAAGCTAGTCCCAGGGTGAGAGGTGAGGGCCCCACGGCCCTAACTGCCCTGGAGCCAACACGGGTGTCCCCATTTCATCCCGGTCACCGCAGGACATCAGCAAGAGGCTCTCTCTGCCCACGGACATCCGCCTGCCCCAGGAATTCCTGCAGAAACTGCAGCTGGGGAGCCCAGACCTGCCCAAGCCGCTCAGCCGCATGTCCCGCCGCGCCTCCCTGGTGAGTCCCAAGAGGGTCAGAGGTCACGAGGTTGGGACACCCTCTTCCCAGCATGGACAGACATAGCAGTCCTGGCTTTGCCTGTCCTAGCCGAGGCCTGTCGTGGTTTCCAGGAAGACTCCTGGGCCTCTGGCGCCACCTGCTGGCCTCAGCGGATTCTATTAGATTGTCCTCCTAGAGCAACAGCCATTCCCTAAATGGGTCCCACCTGCGCTGGAGATGAGCTCTAAGACCCGTCTGGTCCCCAGGGTCTCCAACAGGTTAAATCAATAGACCAGCTGGCCTGAGCTTCCCAGTCCTAGCTACCTATCAGATTTGCTTGGGAGAATCTTACAAAACACAGACTGGACCCCACTCTAGACACCTGCAGAATCAGCCTTGGGGTGGAGGCACAGGAATCTATCTTGTTAAGGGTTGGGAACACCTGAGCTAGGAGAAGTTTGCTCATGAGAGACACTGTCGGGGTGGTGGGCTCAGAAGATGACACAGGACCTGCCCTGGAGGTGCTAGTAGTCTGAGCAAGACAGAGTCAGACCGGTGACCGAAGCGGGCAGCCACAGCTCTGGGCCCCACACCCTGGACTGTCATGGGAGGAAGAAACTCACACTTCCCAGGGCTACCAAAGGGATGAAGGAAAGAGGAGAAGAGGAAGGATGTGTGGTGGCCGCCCTCACCCCTGCTAGCCTCAGTTGTTTCCTTTCCACGATAGGGCCCTCCTCCCCTCGCCTCCCGGAGGCTGCAGGTGATGGGGGGGTGTAGTGTGTAGGGCCAGGCTGCTGGGCCCCCCAGCTCATAGCACCCTGTGTCTCTCCCTTTCAGTCAGATATTGGCTTTGGGAAACTGGAAACATACGTGAAACTGGACAAACTGGGGGAGGTAAGAGGCTGGGTTTGGTCTTCTTGGGGCAGACAGGCGGGATGGTTTCAAGGAGGGGAAGGGCCTTCCCTGGCCCTCCCGGATGTGCCCTCTCATGGTCCCTGCCCTGCAGAGGCGCACGATCTTGGCCGTGCATCTGGCCCAGCCATTGGCAGGTGTTGAGGTGGGCCTGGGTTCAAATCCCAACTCCACCATTTACCAGCTCTGTGACCTGGAGCAGATTATATGACCTCTCTCTGTGCCTCAGTTTCTTCTTCTGTTAAATGGGGATAGTAAATGTTCTACCTCATAGAGTTGCTGTGAGGACTGAATAGGTTAGAATAATAAGCTTATGTACAGCACCAAGACAAGGCCTGGCACACAGTAGGTGCTGTGTCACTAAGTTATTTCTGTTGTCACTGTGTCAGGCTTTGTGTTAGAGGCTTGGGGTGAGTGAAGGTTCACAGAGAGGACCCCAAAGAGGAGACCTACACATAAACCTCAATGGAGCAGAAGAACAGAGCTGGTGTTAACAATGGAGGGGCATCTAGCGTGCTGGGGGTGGGGGAAGGAGCAATTCATTCTGCCTGGGGAGTTGTTAGGGACACCTCACAGGGCAACTGGGCTTTGGGAGAAACAGAAGTTTAGAGAAGGGGAAAAGCCACTCAGGCCGAAGTCACAAGCACACGCACTAAGGGGAAGGCATGGGACAGGGATAGCAGGACCTGAATGTGCCCGGGGCTGGTGGGCTCTTCACCCCAGGGCACCTACGCCACCGTCTTCAAAGGACGCAGCAAACTGACGGAGAACCTGGTGGCCTTGAAGGAGATCCGGCTAGAGCATGAGGAGGGGGCGCCCTGCACAGCCATCCGAGAGGGTACAGCATCCTAGGGCCCACGCTCCCCTGGGGACTTCTGGGAGGAGGGGTTCATCTGTCCGGGCCCCATGGGAGCTGGGGGTGGAGGGTGATCGCTGGGGTGGGGGCTCCTGGGGATGACCCCAGGAAGGAAGGCATGAGGGGCACACGGTGCCCCAGGTACCCAGGCGGGCCTGCCCCCCACAGTGTCTCTACTGAAGAACCTGAAGCATGCCAATATCGTGACCCTGCACGACCTCATCCACACAGATCGGTCCCTCACCCTGGTGTTTGAGTACCTGGTGAGCTGGGCTGGGGCCGGCGGCCTCTCCCCCTTGTGGTGGGGTGGGATGAGGTGGGGAGTGTGGGAAGGGGCAGTGGGAGGGGTGGAGTGGGGGGCGGCCCAGGCCTTCTACAGTCAGCTTCTCAGATGCTCCGTGCAGGAGTGGGACAAGGGATCGGGCTTAGGGACAGCTCAGAGCCAGAGACCTGTCCCACTAGTGGGCTTGGGTCTTACCCAGGGAGGGGCTTCCTCTCCTCAGCCTGAGTCTGGGCTTCTGGCCAGAGGTCAGGACAGGGCAGGACTGAGCCAGGCTCTGTGTTCCAGGACAGTGACCTGAAGCAATATCTGGACCACTGCGGAAATCTCATGAGCATGCACAATGTCAAGGTAAGAGCCTCCGTGGTGGGGACCCCAACCCATCTTGGCACCCACCTGCCCTGAAGCCCAGCACAGGAACCCACTGTCGCCATCAGAGCCCCAGCTGCTGAGGTTGCTCAGACCTGCAAACATAGGAAAGAGGGAAAGGCCCTACCTTTCCGTGAGTCCAGGAACACAGACACACACCTCCTCCACCGATATAGAACCCCCTCTCTAACTGAGCACCAGTTTCCCCATCTGTCCCTGGGAGCGTGAGCTACCCACCAGCATGGAGGGGGGCTTCCAGGGAAGCTGGGAGTGACAAATGACCTCTGCAGGTGCACTTCCTGACCCACCGTGCCTCCCCCAAGGCTCCCCCACTAGAGAACTCTGGCCTCTTGCACACTCACTACCTCTTCTATGCACCTGGTGCCCTCCCCTCTGGACGGGATTCTCTGGTGTGGATGGGGCCCAGCATGGGACTGCAGGGTGGGCAGAAGAACCAGGTAGCTTCTCCAGGGGCTCGTGCTGACCTCTCCCCACCCCCATCCCAGCCTTGGGGCAGAGGCTCAGAGTCTCCCGTGGGACATGCTCCCACCCCCTACCCACCTTTCTCTTCTCTCCTCCCCCAGATTTTCATGTTCCAGCTGCTCCGGGGCCTCGCCTACTGCCACCGTCGCAAAATCCTTCACCGGGACCTGAAACCCCAGAACCTGCTCATCAACGAGAGGGGGGAGTTGAAGCTGGCCGACTTTGGTGAGGCTAGGGCTAGGGTGGGGTCTGACACTTGCCAGGGTGCCATTTCCTCAGGGCATGGGTGCGGTGGGGGACTGCTTAGTGGTCGACCCCACAGCACCTGTGAGCAGAGGTGCAGCCATGCGTCTGTCCCTAGGACTTGCCCGGGCCAAGTCAGTGCCCACAAAGACCTACTCCAATGAGGTGGTGACCCTATGGTACAGGCCCCCTGATGTGCTGCTGGGGTCCACGGAGTACTCCACCCCCATCGACATGTGGTGAGTGAGCACCGTGGGCACCGTGGGGAGGAAACAGGGCCTGTCCGCACCTCCGCGCTCCTTTTCACTGCCCCCAAGGGCCTGTGGGAAGAACTACCTGACCTCCTTTGACTAAAAGCCATGTGGCATCCTGCTGAACTGGATGTTAAAAATTAAGTCTGAAATAGTCTGGGCTTAAATAAATCCTCCAAGGCTGTGCTTCTGTAATATTCCTCCAGGGGTCTGTGGGGGGTTACCAGAGGGTACAGGAGGGCCCTCCAGTAAATATGGTGAAATCTTCCCCAGGCTACAGTTCTAGTGAAAATTTTGTAAGGGATACATTATTTCTATGTTAAAATTAACAAGTGTGTTGGGCCGGCCCATGGATCACTCGGGAGCGTGGTGCTGACACCACCAAGCCAAGGGTTGAGATCTGCTTACCGGTCATCTTTAAAAAAAAAAAAAAAAATTAACAAGTGTGTGATTTGATGTAAAATTAAAAAGCAGCCCAAATTTAAAGCTAAAACACAGGTTTCCAACGAATGGCTTCTGCGCCCGTGGCCCAACCCTCCTGGGGAGAATGGATCCGTGCCCTTTTTTGAGACCACGCTGCTGAAAGAATCGCCACGTAGGCGCTGGCTGTGCAGACAGAAACCTCACAGAGTGAAAGGGGGAGGTCACAGCTTCCTCGAGCCCACGGAAGCCCCCAGAGAAGGGCTATAGTGGGGGACTGGGCAGTTCTGAGAACCAGCCAAGCCAGAGCCATGACCCCTCCAGCCACCTGTGGCAAGGTGTCTTGGTACCCCAGTGCAGCAGCCCCAGCAAGGGTGCTCACCGCTTCCTGACGTTGCCCCTGCCCCCTTGCTCCCCGCAGGGGCGTGGGCTGCATCCACTACGAGATGGCCACGGGGAGGCCTCTCTTCCCGGGCTCCACGGTCAAGGAGGAGCTGTACCTCATCTTCCGCCTCCTCGGTCAGTCTCTTGCGCTCCCTCCCTGTCGCCACCAGGGGACGCCAGAACTCTGCCCAGCCAGGCGCCTAGCGGGACTGGGACGCGAGGCTCAGCCTGTTCTCAACAGGGCGGGGACCCTGCGGCTTCGGCCGGCCGTCCTTTACCCCCGCCTTCGACATTGCACCCCTTCCAAGTCAGCCTTGGCCCTGGCCCCTCACCCAGCCCCCGACCCCCTCTCGTCTCCCCAGGGACCCCTACAGAAGAGACGTGGCCCAGGGTGACAGCCCTCCCCGAGTGCCGAGCCTACAACTTCCCCCGCTACCCCCCGCAGCCGCTCATCAGCCACGCGCCCAGGTAGCCAGCNCCCCGACCCCCTCTCGTCTCCCCAGGGACCCCTACAGAAGAGACGTGGCCCAGGGTGACAGCCCTCTCCGAGTTCCGAGCCTACAACTTCCCCCGCTACCTCCCGCAGCCGCTCATCAGCCACGCGCCCAGGTAGCCAGCCCTGCCTGCCTGCTTGTGGTCCCGGCTCGCCCTCCTGAGGGCGGCCACCCTCCCCGCCCCACCCAGGCCAGGCCTTTCAGCCCCTTCTCCTTGCAGGTTGGATCCTGAAGGCATCAACCTCCTGACCAGCCTCCTGCTGGTGAGTGTCCTCCTGGCCGGGGCTCAGGGAGAGGCAGCCAAGACCCCACCTCTGCCCTGTGCCTCGACTCGTGTGGCTCATGTGTTCCACGAGTCTTTCAAACATCTCCCCTGTGCTCTCCAGCCCCAAAGCCCGAAGGGAGCGCTGGTTCCATGCACAGCCTTTGGAGTCTGTGTCCTAGTTCACACCCGTTTACTAGCTGTGTAGCTTCGTGCATGTTACAAAGAACTCCTCTGGGCTTCAGTTTCCTCACCTGCAAAGTGCCATTAGTAATTCGTATTTTATAAAATGGTCGTGAGGATACATTGAGATCATGGGACGCACTTACTGGGTGTCTGTCTGGAAGTAAGCGCACAGGGAAGGGTAGTCGTGGGTATTTCATATTACTATATCAATATCATGTCATCATGTTTGCTTTAACATCTATATTTCCATCCTAAAAGGAGGTCACTCTCCTGAAGTTGCACTTCTGGTTTTTCCTGGTGGCTGGAGACCTGGGAGCCTGAGCCCTGAGATTGGCTGGGGTTAGGTCAGGTGGGGGCTGGCAGCTGACCCTGGGGGCTTCTAGGTTAGATCCAGGCCCCTCCCACTTTGGTGATTTAACTTAGCACAGGAGTTGTGCTGCCCAGGGGGTCCCTGCAGCCCCCCAGCCAGGGCCCAATAGCCCACCCTGTGCTTTTCAGTATGAATCCAAGTGTCGGGTGTCAGCAGAGGCTGCCCTGAGTCACCCCTACTTCCGGTCTCTGGGAGAACGTGTGCACCAGCTGGAAGACAGTGAGTGCAGGGGTGGGCAGGGGGGCGGCCACCCGAGAACCAGAAAAAGGGGGCAGCAAGTGTGGGTGGAAGAGCCAGAACAAAGAGGCCAGAAGCCCCGGATCCAGCTGTTTAACAGCCTTGGGCATGTGGCTTCCCCTCCTTGAATGTTCATTCTGACTAAGGGCATGGACTCTGGATCTGAGAGCTGCCTTTTGGGCCCAGTTAGTCCTCCTGGGCCAGTCCTCACTGCCAGGGGTACTCCCAGCTTCGTGTTCTCAGTGAGCGTGGGCAGCAGGCTCTGGGAGGACTAGAGCAGGGCCAGCTCCACCCAGCCCTCTCCCTGGCCCTCTCTTCTTTCACCCCAGCTGCCTCCATCTACTCCCTGAAGGAGATCCAGCTCCAGAAGGACCCAGGCTACCGCAGCCTGGCCTTCCAGCAGCCAGGTAGGGGCTTGGGCCTCTCCCACCCTCTCCCCTATTAGAGGTGGCCAGGGCAGGCTACTTTTCCTCCCTAGTGAGGACTCCCTCTTGAGAAACAAAGATGGGCCTGCTCCTGTGCTGGAGAATCAGCTTGTCCCCCTCTGCCCCACTGGCCTCCCTTCTGGGGCCCATGGGGAGCAGAGAAGGGGCTGGTTTCTCCTACCCAGACTTCCTCGTCTGGTCCTCCCTCCGTAAGCCCTGAGCTCTCTAACCAGTCTCTATCCTGGGAGGACTAAACTTTGTCTCTAGAATAGCTAATCACCTTGGATGTGACAAGTGCTTTCTCCTTTAATCTGTAAAAGCACCCCTTTAAGTTGGTGCTGTTAATGTTCCCCATTGCATTGTCAATGAAACAGGCCCTGGGAGGTTAAGTCACAAG